AATTTCACCAGAAAGAAAGCACTCTGTGACTAAATAAGCAAAACATTTTAAAATATGGATTGCATTTAATCAAGTAGAAATCATTGACTTAGAAGAGAAAAATTGACTCCAAAGGAACAGAAGATTTATTCAATGGTTTAAGATTAAAATTTCATTTTTGTTTTTGTGAATGTGTGATAAGATTCACTAAAGATGCAAAATTGAAATGAAAATTTTTTAATCTTAAGTTATCTGCTTTACCAGTATTATACTTGTATATATAGAAAGACATTCAGATGTACTACAGATTTTACAAGTACTTGATTAATTGCTGGCAATTAGAAATCTTAATACTATTTTTTAAGTATTCCTTTTTTATTTGTTGTCTAATTCTGCTATTAATATGTCATGTACTTAATACTAACAAGGTGGAATTTAGCTTAACTTTGGTAATCAAGTAAGAATTGATGTTCTAAGACAATTATTAATTTTTATTGATTGTTTCATTAATTTCCCAAGATTTATCAACCCTTTGCAAATTATTTGAAGCTAAAAAATATTTTTAGTTTGTAAGAATTTTTTTGAGATAAAAATGATTTAATGATACAAGTCTTAATAATTAACCCATAGCTGAGAGGAGAATAGGTGGATTCATACCTTTCCCAAGGGTATTTGTGCATAAGTGAATATAATTAACCCAGTTGGAATTGGAAGTTGGCTCTCCGATCAACATTTCCAAGCCATTATCCATTACACCATCTGCACATTCAAGCTTACAGCACCTGGTATTCCCAAGTGGTCACCCTTCTAGGTAATGACCAAGCTCGATGTTGCTTAATTGGTAATCATATGGGAACCATTGTTTCAATTTGATATGGTCATAAGCCTATTAATTTTCACAAACATATAAGGCTCCTAGTGAATAATGCTAATAGAAGAATTAGATCAGAAATAGGATAAGAACAATTTGACTTTGCTCAAGGCACTGGAACAAAAAATGCTATCTTTATGATCAGAATGCTATCAGAGCAAGCTATATAAATGCAGAAAAACATACACCTATACCTGTTTCATAAATTACAAAAACCATTTCATAAGGTATGACACAAAGACCTGCTTGAAATGCAGGTTGGATATCCTTTATCCGAAATTTCAAAATCTGAAAGTTTTTCAGGTGCTGACATGACTTACCACAAATGGAAAATTTCAGAAAGCACTGAGAAGATTCCTAGATGATGTGAAGCTATTGTAAGTGACCTCATCTGCCCTGGATGGGGATTCTCCAGCTCAGCTACCTAGTCTACATTGGTGACAGTGTTAGCGATCATCACAGCAACACCTTCATTCATGGATTACTTACCAGGTGCTTTGTGCTCAGTAATGATATTTATATATTTATTGTAAATAATAATCATGCTGTTTTGTTTTCATACAAAAGGTACAAAACATTATTTTTATGTGAAATCTTAATTTCCCTATTTAAAAATCCATATGAGCATTACATGACTAGTGTCATTACCTATATCTGTATGTAAACAAAATTGATTAAATTTTATATAAAACATTCAAGATATATGTTATTTATATAAAACTACCTTCAGGGTATATGTATAAGTTGTGTTATGAAATGTAAAGGAACATCGGGATTATGCTTGGGTTCCATTCCCAAGGTGCTCCATTTTATAGATGCTATATACAAATTGAATAGCTCGTATTTCAAAATCAGAAGAAATTTGAAAAGCAAAGCACTTCTAGTCCCAATAATTTCAGATAAAGGATTCTCAGCTTGTATGAGAAAAGTTTGATTTACAAGTAATATGTAAACTTGACTAGGAACAAATAGTCTGCATGTAGATAGAGAAAAATTTAATGAATACACAAAAGAGGAATAAGACAAGGATGTGTTTTTCTCAGTGGATTTATTCAAGCTATATAATGAGATGATTCTAGGAGAACTAGAACACCTACCAGGATTTATTATTGGTGGACATAATTTTAATAATGTAAGATAACACTGTGTTGATGACAGAGTCGGAAAGGAGATAGAAAGGACTCTTATACAAGAAGAAAGGACTAACTATTAACTATAAGAAGACAGAATGCATGGTTGTCAATAAAAGATAGAGCCCAAGATATGAACTACATATTAGGGAAATTTAACTATCTGGTTAGTGTTGTAACAGACTATGGTAAATATGACATGGAAATCCAAAAGGGTAAAAGCATAGTCAAAAATGCCTTTTAGGAACTAAGCAAAGTATCAAACCATACAAAAATATTGTTAGAAGCAAAAAAGAGAAAAAATGTACTGAACTCCTTTGTAATATCTATATTGAATGAATACTGAACAATTTCCTCATAAATAATAAAACTTGAAGCTGTGAAAAATTGAGGGGATGAAAATGTTACCTTGTACAAATATTCAAATCATCCACATAAAAAAGAAAAGAAAAAGAAAATAATAAACCAGATAAAGTAAAAATGTAAAATATTATAATCCAGAAATTGTTGAGGTGTTTTACAAAAATTGCTTTTTTCTTTTTATTCAAGTTTCTTCTTTGGAGACAGTTTTCATATGACAGATGAGACACGGAAGATTTCTTAACTATTACTATTTCAACTTTTATTTAGACTCACTACTTGATACATTATCTTATTTGTATATGATATGCAGATGTAGCATTAAACAAGAATACATCTAAATATTTAACAGAAAAGTGTTTGGCTCCATTTGAATTTGTGTTACTTGAAGAATATAGATTTTCTAATAATGTAATAAATATACATGCTTAAAAACTGAAACTTGGCAGATGAATAATTTGATATATATTTTAAATGCTGTGTAAATTTTATCTTTCTATGTAAATTATAAGTTAATTAAATTTTATTTTAAGTTGATATTCATTCAGTCAAGATATCATATCTTAATGATTTTAACAGATTGCAACATCTATCAGAGATGAAATTTAAATTCTTATTATTGCATTATTCTAAAATTTTAACACATTAACAGAAAGCTATTAATGTCAATAACTGAGCTCAAATAGTTATTAATAAAAAAAATTAGTAATTAATGTATAATATTATCCATAACTACATGTACAAGAATGTCGTTTTTGATAAAAGTTAAAGTTTAAAAATAACCATAAATATGTAAAAAATGCATGTTTTGTCAATAGTTCCTTTTTCCACAATATAGCTATTTATGCTATATTATAATGCTTATTACCTAAACAATAATAATAATGAATAAATTATTTTAGGCATTAAAGTATATTTAATCACATCTCCCTAATAGCTGGCGCGATCTGTAAATAACAATAATTTTGTTTTTGTTTGAAATTGATTAATTAATAGAACATAATAATGTGTTTGCTATAATTTAAATCTGCTTAATTTGATAATTTTACCAAATCTTAATTTATATAGATCTTAGAAGATTTTCCTCACAAAACAGCAACAGGGATGTGGTTCTACCAACAAATGCTAAGATTACCGTGGACAGAACATGTGAGCAATAAGGAAGTCCTAATAAAAATTTAAACAATAATTACAATCAGAAAGAGACATGAAATTTCAGAGATACATGATGAGTAAAGAGGGCCTAAAGAATTTAACACTCACAGCACATATCGAAGGCAAAAGAAACAGTGGTAAAGACAAAGAGCAATTATAAAGGGTAAAAAATTACTTAGAGCAACAAAAGACAGGAAGTGGAGAACCATGATAACCTACACCCTGAAAGAACTTAGCATATAAAAGAAAACTATCCAATAAACAAAAGACACACAGATGAACATCAGACAAAAGTGGTCATTCACTAACTACAATCAGACCTAAGAAATATATGTCGCCACTATTAAAACCACAGACACAGACCACATACTACAAACTAATAATGTGGCAAAAATCACTATGTGATGCAATACAAGAGATCAAAAAATTGGCAGCCATATTAGTTGACATTAAGTGATACAAAATAATTTTACAATTTTGTGGTTGGCTATTTTTCAAAGAATTTTGGAAAGCTAACTTTGCATACTTTTTACCTATCTGTTTGCTTTTTTTTAATAGTGGCAGATTTTAGGGAGACATACATTTCGTTTAAGTCTGATTGTAGTTAGTCAGTGGCCACTTTTGTCTGATGTTCATCCATGTGTGTAGAGTCAGTTTTGAGATTCAGGATTGCTGTCTGCTATTACTTGATGAGGTTGACAATTTTTGTGTGGATGAGGCCAGTGAAATCCATTTTGTTAGCTCTCCTACTGCATGCTGTTGTTATTTTCTGATTCTGGTTGGATGGGAGAACAAACAAAAATGGCAATAAACTGCTTGTGAGGCTGAAAGTAGAGATAACAGAATTGCTAATATAGAATTATTTTGTATTACCTATACAGAGAATGTGAGTGGAATGTCTCTTTGTGGGCAAGGGAAGCAACTTGGAGGAAGAATAGCATTGGTAGTACCTGGAGTTGATGCATGTTTTGGGTTGGTTGGCCGGTCACTGGTAGTGATATTGACAGATTGTCTGTTCACTGCAACTCTCTTCCAGTGTTGTTGTCAGCCTTCTTAAAAGCATAATGAGGTGGGTCATTTTTTCATGTTTTTTCTTTGTGATAAGCTTCTTTTATATCGTAATTTATATTTTTGGGAGTTGGATGTGATGCTTAGAGACCCTCTGCAGAGAGCAACTTTTTATTTTTATTTTTGCTTTTTTATCCGACCAACATGTAAAGTGAATCAGAAAGAGATCTAATTTGAAACAGAGTATAATAACAGTAGTAAGTTCAGTACTTTCAAATTTCCAGTAAATCCGAAAATATATCTCTTCCGCTTGTCTAATATTAAATTTAATAACAAAATGAAAAGGGAAAAGAAAAACAATATTACTGGACTGTTTTACACGGGTTAATTCATCATCAAAACACCGGTTAGTGAAGACCAGAGAAGAAAATTGTTTATGCTAGCACCGATCCATTAAACACACGGCTCTCATGGTTTGCAAAGTGAAATCATTCTGAATGAACGTCCGGCTCTTTCTCTGTGGAGTAAGTTTTATAAATTCAGTTTTGCTTTTCCATATCTGTTTGCGTTTAGTTAATTTATAGATGAGAAAATTTTAAAATTGATGAATATTTAAAAATTTTAATAGATACAGCATGCATCTTTTTGTGAGGAAATTATTTTTTTTACTACGGAATACGAAACGTGATATAACAGGAAACTTGAAAAGTTTAGTTAATCGTTATTCAGTCTAAGTGAGTTGAATTTTAAAAAATCCATCAGAGAGTTTTTATTTTCGTTAAAATAATAATAGGGTGTATTTGCATTTTATTTACTATACTTTTTTTAACATTTACATTACAATCTAGCTAATAAAAAATATTCTGACTTTTTTGCAAATTTCCTACACTGGTTACTTTTTTTTTTGTGTTGTGTTAACTATTTATTTCTTTTTAGATGTCATTAATCCCGAGTAAGTTGAATGAAGTTTATTTGAGAAATTGTTATTGAACGATTCTTAGTAAATTAGAAAGTAAAAAATAGTCTTGTCAAAGAAGGCTCCAGTCCATCGTATGAAATTTAAACGCTTAAAATCGCATTACTGGAATTCTTTACGAGTTATTTTTTTCTCCTCTCATTTTATTTTTACAGAAGTATAATAATATTTCATTAGAATCCATAATTTTGTTCCATTACTGAATTATGTTCTGCAGCAACTTAACGCACAATCAATCCTGTGATTTGTTTATTACAATTATGAGGTTCCGTAGTCAGAAATCGTTCTCGTTTGTTTTCCTTGTTGCCGTTGATGCTAAAAATTCGCACTGCTGGCCTCGTAGCAGAAATCATTTTATTTTAGGAAAATAAATGAAAAATATTTGTCCTCTAAGGTTCATTATTTACATTTTTCTCGTGTTGATTCTTCTTTCATATAAGAATTCATAAACAACGGAAGATTTTTTCTTGAAGTAAAATAAATAATTAAAAAACTTAATTGCTGACACACTCAACTACCGATTTTTTTTTGTTTTTTAAAATATTTCTGATGGCTCTGTCGTTTTCCTTATTTTTTTCACCAATAAATGAACAGAATAATATTTGAAAAATAAACGACTGTACAGATTTTTTTATAGAGTTATCTAATTATTTCTTTCTTTTACAAAAAATCTTTTTTTTTTTTTTTTTTTTTTTACAATTTACATAAAAAAAAAAGTATTATGAAGGAAATTAAAATTTGAAGAGGTTACGGATTATTCCCGCTCTATGAATTGCAAAAAACAGAAGATAATTTTTCTTTTCAAATTTTCAGAAATTCAATAAAAGGAAAAACCCGTTATTGTGCCTGAGTGTTTACTGTTTATAGACAAGATTATTAATGTTTTGACTTTTGAGGGTTTAAAAAAAAGAGAGGGGGTATTATTGTTGAATTTAGCGTCCCAAACAATTTTCGTGTATCAAATACTGAATTACCTCCCTTAGATTGCCGAGCATTTCGGAAAATCTATTTTATTCAGGACTTTTTTCACATAGATTAAAATATATTGCAATTTGAAATCTGTATTTCGTTTTATTTCTGAAAGATTAAAAAAAGAGGAAGTAGGCCCGATTTTATTTTACATGTCACTGTTATTGATCACAGAAATTGAATTAGATTCCTTTTTCTCTCCATATATTTAAAAAGATGGTGTCAATTCTGTGTTTTGTCCGAAAATTGTTTCGGACGCTAAACTAGATGCTGTCTAAAAAAATACTTCTCTCAAGGTTTTAAGGCTAATTTAATTTTCTTTTCTTTCTTTATTTTTTAAAAAATATTTCTAATTCTTAAGCGCTTTTGTCAGTAGAGAGCTGATAAAATATCCGAAATAGACCCTTCTGCCCAATAGGGTGGTCCGAAAGTTTTGTCACCTCCTACTTCTCTTCCAAACTGTAGGAGCTCGTGTCAGCCATCTGAAATAGAAAATTATGTGTGGTGTGGTAAGACTTTTGGACCACCCATTATATTGCATGAATAGTTGGCATGTATACCTTTTTTTATAAATATAAATTCCATCTTATATGGATAGAAAAGGAATAAATAACAACTACTGTGGAATTACTCCCAACAGCTTTCTAAGTAATTGAATGGATTTTCCTAACTCCTTGGATTCTGTTAGAAATTTTTAGTCATAATTTTCTCAAATAAAATAGAAAAAAATAGTTAACTTTGATGTGTTCATGGCCACAGATTTGATTGACTATAATAATCCATTAAACAATGATTATAAATGTTAAATAATTTTTCATCAACAAATGATAATATTGATGGCTATTTCTAATGTCAAATAAATTGGTTCATTTTTGAAAAGTTGTTTTGTGTTTACTAAATAGTAAGAAGAGCTTGTCAGGGTTTTGCACTTGAAAAATTAATTTATTTAAATACTTCACTACAATAATAAAGCCATTTGTTTCCTTATACAACTATTCTGTTCATATAAGTATTTTTGCTTTAGTTTCCAATATTTTCAATATAGTTAGCACTTTTTGTGCACTGTCATGTAAGAATTTTTTTTAGTGCACTCCATTGAAAAGGATAGATTGTACCAAATTAAAAGTTGTTATACTCAACTTTGGTGATATGAATTTAATCAAATGTATTTTCATGTTAATTATTTAAATTATTAAGATTCTTAAGTAAACAAAGTCTTTCACAAAAAAGGGCAGTTCTGATCCAATGTAGGGATATTAAACTCTCTTGGAGAGAAACATCCAGTAACTGCCTTGTCTAAAGTCTCTTAAACTTTCAAGTTACCACCACTGCAGGCTGAGAATTAAATAAAGATGTTTACCGTGATGATTTAATCCTATTAAGTGAAGAAATTCTCATCTTTAGAAGTAACATATTTATTTTACATTGTTTTATTTTTGCTTTTTTTTTCTTTCTTTTTTTTTAATTTTTCAAGCACAGTAATAACCATATATCTTTCCATTTATATACAGGCTTACAAAAGGTGAAGATACTTTTACTAAATATTTTTTAAATAATATTATTTTGGCACTAAAATATAATTGTAACCCTTCTTCTTTGCTTATATGAATGAATACTATTTTACCTTTAAGAGAACAAAAGCAGTCATTACAAAGTGAAATAAAAAAGGTGTCTTATAAGATACAAATTATTTATTACTACTCATCATTTAAGTTTGCACTTTTATGTATAATTGGCAATTTTAATTCATTTTTTTTTTTCAGTATAAACATAGACCTCATTTGCTAAGAAAAAAGTGAGGTGCTAAAATCTAATCAAATCTCATACTGTAAATATCCCTGCTAAATTTTATCATATCTATTAAACTGTTTCTGTGTCATTGTATAAACACACAAAAATGATTTGGAAAATGTTTCTTTAGCTCTTGAATACAACAGAATGATCATGTTTAGTGATGGCTATTCTATACAGATATGAAAGTTCCATAAAACTATACTTAATCCTACTTATTAGAAAACAAAAACAAACTGAAAAACAAGTTCATTTTAAGTACAGCAATATGTACTGTTTTCTGCCCTTCTAAATTACCATACGTCTTTCTCTTAATATGAGCAGCAAATGGTTGCATTCTGAATTCAACTTTGTGGAATCTTTTTCCCCCCTCTACTCATTTTATACAGAAGTGAGGCCTGTAATTATTGTGTGACCTTTTGTATTTGGAGCAAACTATGCCATTTTAGGAAATAACATAAGGTCTCTTTGTAGATACACACATAATTACATTTACTTTTTATACAATTTCACATGTATACATATATTTTTGCATGTGCACACCATCACACTTTCTCTTGTATAAGCATATACACACACGCTAATCATTTTTTCTTCATACGCATTTACTAGAGAATGCTGAAATATTCTCAGCCCAACCAAGAAGGGATTGAAATAATTCTAATGTTTGGTCAGATTTTGGAGAGTTGGTCAAATCAAGGACTTTTTAGCACCACCTTTTAAATATAAATTTCTGTACATGAATTTATATCAGAATATAGATTATTTTGGTAAAACATTTAAGATTTTTCCTCATTGGATGAGCCATAATTTTAATGATCTATCAGATTTACAGAATACAGTTTGTACATATTCATGATAAATGTAACTAATTTGTTGCCCACACTACTAAGTTGGTATCTATTTTATTTTCATGCTTTTTACAAAACAACTACTCTTGTATAGGCAGATGGTCAAATATTGTTAGAGATAGCAATAAGCTAACAAAGAGGTTGGAACAAATAAAGAAGTAAAGAAAAAAAAGTAAAAAGACAAGTGAAAGAAAAATTGGAAGAGAATGGTAAATAGGAAGCTGAGAGTGAGAAAGAAAACAAAATCAGTGCATTGTATATTTTGAAGATATATAAAGATACATATAGCTGTTTATAACTTGCAAATATGTGTGTTAAATGCATCATTTTTATTTATATTTTCATATATATTGCGTTTTCAAAAGAAATCAGCTGAGTAGTTCTTTCCTTTGGAAGTTTAGCAGTTGGATTGACCTCTGTGATCATAAATCAGATAATAAATTGGCCTTTTGTCAATCAATCAAACTTATATTGATTAGCTGTGGAAATAATTTGAAACTGCTGTTAAAATAGAGATAAATTGGCATTGATTGAAAAAATTCTGCTTTACTGAAATCTATTGCTTAAGTACAACAAATTTACTAACAAGATATAATGGATTTTATTATTACAAGACAAACTGTTTAAGAAATACAATTTTGTGTTTAATATCAATCTTGAATGAATGTGATAATGAGTATAGATGATCAGAATATAAAACCATTATAGTGCATATTTTTCAAATCATTTCACCCCCAAGTAAAGTGAAAAATCCGCTAAGATGTAACAGGTTATTGAGAATGAAAGAAACTGATAAAACATTATTAAGGAGAGAGTGAGAGGGCAATAAAAGAACAGGAGACAAAAGATGACAACTGACATTCCATTTAAATAAAACTAATTAATGGTTGTATCTGGTTTGTTTTATTTCAGCTCAATTTCAACTTCTGTTTTCTGCTCTGTGCTCTTAACTGCTGAACTATACCTGCAAGTGCTAATAGGTGCAAAAATAAGAGAAGAAAATGTAGATTAAGGTTGATTTACTGAAATGTTAAGTGGATAATTTTCTTAACACTTGTGACTATTATTTACTGGTTGTAATAAATGCTCATTTGTTTGATAGAAGTGGCCTAAGAATAATGGCTAAAATTAACAGAATGGCCGATAGTGAAAAACCGTTTCTTCTATTGGCTGCTTTTCAAGATTGAACTGCTTACAAAACATGTTCTGAATATACTACTTCAGTGCAATAACTGTAGATATCTGTGGCTGCTTTGTTTTCTTTATATATACAGACAAACCTCTCATCAACAGACTAATAGCAGGGATGGGTGGTCTGTTCAAGCTTATTGTCCATAGATTGGAAGGGATTATTTTTGAGTTATAAAACCACTATGGTAACTGCCAGTAGTTATGATCATAATGTAAATGCTGTATATATGGCATAAATAAATATATGCTGAATATAGATATATTAATCAAAATAACAAAACTAATAGATTTCTCACAGCTACTTTCTATTGCACACACTAATGTATTGTACTTTATCTACTGTACACCCATTTTTGTTTACGATTGAAAGGGCTGCTACTGCTGCCAAGCAGTCACTTTGAGAACTAATACTTGTTCTGCTAAGCCCACAAATTTTAAAATACGTTGCTGACAATTTGGAAGTTTTTTCTTTTCCTGCAGATTTTTTTTTATTTTGCCTGCAGATTTTGTCTGTTGCATCCAAAGTCCATTGATGTGGTGTTCAAAGATGAGAGGTTTGTCTGTACTTAAGTCAATTTAATCTTTTCTTTTTATTGCCATCTATTATTTGTTTATTCAGCATTATCTTTCAGTTGTAAAGGCAGAATGTTATTTTCTAGATTTTACTCACATGCAAATAAGGTTTATTGATTTTTATATTAATAATCTCAGTATAATTTATGAAAGTGCATTATTTTTTCTAGCTTGTAGCATTATAAAAGTTTAGAAAAATATTGTTTCTAATTGAATGTCAATATAAAAGGATGTTTTTTTTATATTACCTGTCTCATGCAAATATTGTTCTACAAAATATCAAAAGAACAAATAAGTGATAAAAAATCAAATGAACCATAGTAAATTTATAAAAATTTATGGAACCCAAGAACAGTCATATTTATTAATTCCACATTAAAAAATTTGACTGTTCTTTGGTTTGGTAAATTTTACAAATTTACTCTGGCTCATTTCCTGGTTTATCAAATTGTTGGAAAGTTTTTTCATGATAAAACTCAAAATATTTTTACTGCTTTGACATCAAATTGTTCAAGTGAGTGAAATTATTTTTGAATTGACCCTATCTTCATCTTTTGCAGAACATTATACACATATATATATTCTTTTCTCTCTCTCTCTCTCAGGTCTATTTCCTTGTATGTATTTCCCTCATCAAATGCACATGTCTCAGAGACCGTGCTCGAATTGTCCGCGAGATGCTTCGAAAGGCAAGTTCTCAACTTGATTTTCTTTTGCATATAGCTCTTTTATTTTTTTTTAATTATTTGCTTGGAGAAAAATTATTTTTATCATTTTATTTCAATATTATTACAAAATACTTTTTAATATCTTCCAAATTTACTTACTTTTTCTTCCCTCCCTGTTCTCACTTCAATGTTTCTGTCAAAAAGACCATGTGTAGAATATTTATCCCCAAAGAAATTTAACTTTATATAATTCATATTTAAATTTTATCGATTTAAAGAGCTTAAGAATTGTTCCATTCTATAAAGTCTATCTTGGAGCCTTTGCTACTGGCCACTACCCATTTTTATTGATAACATTTATGCTGAGGTATAAAGTGTATTGATATCCCTCTCAATACATGCAGTGATTTTTTTTTTTTTTTTTATTGGAACAAAGTAACCAGTACTGCTGAAGTCTGTATTTTTAACCAGTAATGACCCCAAAATTTGAAACTTGCTTGAATAGAACAATTTTTTTCTGTATATAAATACAACAGTAAGTCTGTAGTTTGAAAAAAAGCATTTATTTTATATAATAAATATTTTTTCAACATAATCACCTTCCTTGTCAGTACACTTAATCCAATAGTTCAAACATTATACTGTGACAATTTCAAATTCAAATTCAGCTAATAACTGTCAGGTTACAAAGGTATTGATCCACCCTCAAATATTATCAGAATTAATTTGTCTAGCTTTGCATTTCATCTATCACCTTTAAATTATGTTACTGTATTAAAGCCCTATTTAAGTTTACAAAATACATATTTTTTATGAAAGTCTCCTTAATGTGATGGTTGTTCCATTAATTTGATTTTCATGATTTGTCCCTTTTTTTTTTTTTTTTTGAAATCTCTATATCAGCTACTTTCTACAAATAGTTTCACTTACAATGCCAGTTCTAAATGTTAACAAGAGTTATTTATTGATAATAAAAAATGTTTGGCAGGTACATAAGTATAGGTCCACCAAAAAAATAAATGTTTTAGTATTCTCAAATCAAAATAATATAACTAATTTGTAGAAATTTTCTATTTTTTCTTATTCACAGTTGTAATTGGTGCAAGAAAGTTGATAATTCCTGTTAGGTTTGTTGCATTCATTTACATGCAAATACCCTTAGGAAAGTTATGAATTAATCTCCTTTCCCAGCTATGGACTTGTATCTGGAAAAATCTACAGCTGCCTTTGAATTGAGAAACATAAAATGTTATCAATGACTTTAGATAATCATAAAAGTAGTCTTTTGAAGATTTGACCACCCATGTGGTTTTGGGGTGGTCTCACCACTTCCAGATGGGGGATGAGACTGCTGGATTATCCATATAAGCAGAGAGAGGCAGAAAGTGGGTCCAGCCGTGAGAAAAGTAGGTAGGTGAAGCTGCCCAGTGGCCAGTGACAGAAGAACCAATTGTGTGGAATCAGGAGTCACTGAGCCCAGAGGCCAGTAAAGTTAGGGAGATAGCAGTTCAGCTGAAGGGAAAGAGAACTGGCTAAGTGAGAAATTGTATTGTTGCTACTTTCCAATCAGAGAGTCTTGAAAAACAATTGTCTTCATTTTTTGTTGAAAGTGATCACAGCCAAGAAGACAAACCTGCGCTCATAGTGAGTTGGGGGTGTATATGCAAATACGTATGACCTTGGATATCATCACAGATTCAGTGAATGATGGATGATCACAAAACTTGTCACAATTTTGCCACAAATGGCGTCACACAATCAATCAATCATTAATGAAGATATTTCTAACAAGATAAACCTGCTCAAACTCCTGACCTTAACAGAAATCTATATAGAGTGAGTTGAAAACTTGTATATATAACAGAAAGCTAAAGAATTTACAGGAGCTTTTGATTTTCTGTCCAAAGGAATGGCAGAATATTCCTGATGAAACAATTTTGAATTTGTATTAAATCATTCAACATTAAGTAAAGGCTGTAGTTTGTGCCAATGGGAGTCACAGTAAGTATTGATGTCCCTAAATATATAAATAAACTTAATGCCACTTTTCTTCTAGTGGCTCATAACTTTTGTATGCCAGATTTTCATCATTACCATCCATTCAGATACATATTTCTCTTTATACTGTTATTTTGAATGTGGTAAGTTACACTACAATCCTGAACAACTGCTCTTCCTGAAAGTACATTGTTGAATACTTAACAAAAATTAAATAAATTGATTTTTAGCTTAGTGACTCATTTCTTTGGCTCACCACTGTATGAGAAAATGATGCACAGAATAACTGTTATTATTAAAAATGTTCATATTCATTTGCCTCCTGTACAGGCAAATAATCTTCTTACTGCATGTTGTTTAAAATTCGTCCTTTCAAAAACTTTAAGGGAAAGTTCAAACTTCTAGCTTCTTCTTTTACATACTATGTCCTTTCAAGATGTGGTTGAATATCACTCTTCCTGTCTTTTATTGCTCTAAGTAATTTTTGGCCTTTTACAATACTTGTTATCCATTCACACAAACTCATTAAGTAGATTACTTGCTGGTTACCCTTAGTTCTTTTGCCATGAGTCTCATGTGAGTATTACATTCTCCAAACCCTCCTTATATATCCCAGAAATTTCAGCTGTCTCTTTCTAATTGCTAGCATCTGTTTCTTTGTAAACTTTTCATCACATAAGTATTTTGTTTACTTCAAAGTTTCAAACACTTTATCAGTAAATTTTCCATTACATTAATTTACAAAAATTATGGAACTCTATTCAAGTGAACAGTTTATTTATAACTTTGGAGCCTTATAAAATGTTATGATATATCATACTAACTGCTAGGGAGGGGGAATTTGTTTTTTTTTTGTGTGTGTGTGTGATTCTTTATATGCTGAAATTTTATTTTGAATTGAAGAATAACTGATCCTCATCTCTACAATACTTGGAATGGAACCTTAAAACCTTAGTTTTCTATTTCATCATCTGAAAACATACAACTTGTTGATAAAAATATTAAATATCAGCTTAAAAGTTTGCATGATTTACTTTTCAAATTAATTTCACTTATTTTTATCAAGCTTTGTGCAATTTAAAAAAAAAGAAATTCTGTTGTTTTCATTTTTGTGTTTTATTTGTAGAAGATTTTCCGGTCATTCAAAGACAGCAAAGTCAGCATGCCTTATTTATGTCCATTCACCGAGGAGCGGGATTTGTTTATCATTCAAGAGAGACAGAAATATATGAAGTCATTGACCAAGTGGCATTGCAATTTCTGTGGCAAAGACTTTTATGCAGAAAATTTTCTTGATAAGCATTTTGATAATCGTCATTCAGAGTATGTACGAAAGGTAAATCTACTTTATTGATGTCAGTCATCAGTTTCATTTATAATGGTTTTTATTCACATGTTGCAGTCAGTGAAGACCTTGTGCCTGGAGGACCTAGATTTATAATTTCACCATAATTTAAAAAAAATATAATTTGGAATTGCTTCAAAACAGCATTAGAACATTTATTGTTTGCTCCTTTTAATGTAAGCTCTTGAAATAGATTTGCTTGTATGTGTGTGTGTGTGCGCAAACACCCACACAATCCTGAATACAATTGGATCCGATCTTAAAATTCTCATGATAAATGTTATGAGGTAATATAAAAAATCTTGATGTATTTTGGTTGATGCATGGTAAGAGGAGGGAAAAAATCATTTATTGTGAACAAAGTAAAATTCTTTGACTATAGATTTTTAGTTGCTTCAAATTTCACTTCTTTTCTTTTTAAATGAATAAATAATAAATGTCTTTTCGCATATAACATGCAAATCAACACATCTATAAACCTGTGTATTAAGAAGCAAAATTTTAACTGAATTCATTTTATGTATAACAAAAAATGCATAAGTTTATTTCTGAATTTATGAAATCTTACAAATGTTCTATTTTAATTGCTATCATTTTAAGTGAGACAACTTGTCAAAATCATGTTTTCTTCTGTATATAACAATAGACAATATTTTACATATACATACATACATACATATATATATATATATATATATATATATATATATATATATATATATATATAATAATTTGCAGACATATTATTTTTTCTTCATGTAATCCTTTTAATCTTGATCTTTTGAGGTCTTCAATTTTATTCTTTTACTTTTAGGGAAATGACTCTGTATGCTTAGCAGACTACTGTGATATCTTCCGCTGTGAAATTATTGGTGGCTTGCTAGAACCTGACTATTGGGACATGGCATTGTGTTTGGAAGATGACATGTATGAACTCCAACAGAAATGTATGGTAGGTTAACATTCCTCTTGAACAATTTGTATGGATTTCAGAAATAATGAGTTTAGTTCACCAAAAAATAGTTTAGTTTTGAAAAATCTTTTACTACATTTTAAAAGATTTTTCATAGCACTCAATATTATAAAAGAACTAACTCTCTATTTGTCACACTGTCTGCATGTGTGTATCTAATGCATATGCATATGTCTGTGTTTGTGAGTGACCTACATGTGCTTGTACCATTTAATGCACACACAAGCACACAATTTGACTGAGTTTGAAATAAGACATTCCTCTCCCACTCAGACTGGACAACCCCTAAAAAAGTAATCAGCTTTTTTTTCTCTTACCTACAGTAAGGGCTTTAGTATCTTTTATCAATAATTATTTCACTGTTTTTATTTATTGATATCAGTCTATTCATATTGTTTTTTTTTAATTATAAAAAAATTATAGAAATATTTTGAAGTCTGCCATTGGATTAAAATATACATGCACATACACACACAAATTGAATAAAATTGAAATGGACATTCTGTCATAAGTGTTAATTTCCCTTCTGTCTGAAGACAACCCCAAAGTATTTGGAAAAATATGTCGTCCTTTGAAGGCATTTTAATACCTCCACCTGTATTTAAACTGAATATATTTCTAATAAATGTACTGTTTTAAATAAGCAAACACTTTAGATTTGAAATTTGATCAAAGTCAGTGAAGCAATAACATGGTTCTCTTTTTTCTTTTTAAGCCTTTCAGTTTTATATATTAACCATGATTTTCATATTCCAGAGTTGAAATTTTTCAAATTTTACTTTCTCTACAGGATATCATTAAAGAATGCATCCCTCCTACCACTTCCCACAATGCATCTAGGTATATTCAAGGTAAATATTTTTGCTTTTGCTAGTTCAATTGCTTCTATTGAAATTTTTCAAATGAATGAAGAGATTTGTCAAATTTTAATGTAATAGTTTTATACCATTTCTTCTGAAAATCTTAGTTTATAACATGTAATATTCTGAAATGCTCTATGTAAAAAATCAGTAAGTGTTTAATAATGCACAATATTATGAAGCAACATTGGCTCATGATATTTTTAAGTAATGTTTTATTGCCTATTTTGTGCATATAATAAAACCATAAATTTCCCCACCTGTTTTGTATTGTGACAACTCACATGCAATAATAGATGACTAAAAAAAATGAACAAAGAAAGAAAAAAAAACAACAGTATGCAGCATAAACTAGAATTCAGTAATATATATATATATATATATATATATATATATATATATATATATATATAAAAGAGAGGTTTTTTCAACTGTACACATGAAATATGAAAATAAATACATGCTGAAAAACTACATTGGAAAATATTAATTTCTACTTGTTATTTAGATTACTTAATTAAAAACTTACAAAATACTCACACAGTTTAAAAGGGAGATTTTTCACTTTATATGCTTATTTCAAAATGTAGTTTTGATTTGTAATCTCTGATCTTTATAGGCTACCCTGTTAGCTTATTAGCACAAGAACAAAAATATGAAATTGAGGAGTATACAATAAGTTTATAAATTACAGAAAAATAATCTTGCTTTCCACATATTTGAAATTCATGTTGTCACTTGATCAAGTAGAATCAAATAATATTGCTGCATTAATATATCTTAAATGAGTTTTATGAATTTGTAAAAATTGCTTAACTATTGGATATCAGTGTAATTTACAAACAAAAGAATCTGTCTTAATATTTATTTTTATAAATTACTGTTTAAATTTTTTTATCATACTAATGTAAAAAAATTAATTCTTAATCAAAGTAGAGTTAAATTAATGACCAAATAACTTGGAGTAGAAATTTAAATTTTATCTACTCTATCAAATTTGCACCATTCACTGATTATAAAATCTTTTTTGCCATTCTCATTTGTAACTTCATACTGTCCATTATGATAAAGGGAGATAACAGTCTCTTATTTACTTTGCTTTTTGTATGCAAGCTTTGTTTCCTTGTTCAGCACATGCTAAATCTTTATTTTGCTGATGCAGATGTATTTTCCAATGAAATTTGCTCATTCCTTGACTGCCGACGATACTGGGAGGCTCCTTTTCCTGAAGTAAGTGCTTGTTTTACTGTTTTTAATATTGTACAAGTTATATAACACTATTTAAAGTGCTTTCAGTGTTCCATTTTATTGTATTATATAGCAGCTCAAAAATATCTTGCTACAGTCAATATGATCTTATCCCTCGCATAATGCTATTGTATCTGTTTATATAGAAAATTTATTTTCCAGTAAAGATGCACAAATTTTTTTGTGTGGTTTAACTAAAGTTCTATTCAAATTAATATGTGAGAAAGTTTTTAATTTTAAACAAAACATTTCATATATTAAAAAGTTTGCATTTTTGTGTTATTTTGCATTTAGTACTTCTGATTTAGTAAAATATGTTAAAGCATAAATGTCATTAGTTTAAAGTTACCTAAATTTTTGTAGTAAGTATTTTTATTATTAATTTTTGAGTAATTTTTATTTTATTGTTATGAGCACTGTAGATTGATAAATTCTTTGACCATTAAGTTGGAATAAATACGTATCCTACAATTAGATATAAACTCACATTTCAAGGATGGAGTTCATTTTACATGGATATTGCTTTAACCTAGTGCTTCCCAAACTTTTTCAACTAGGTATTCCCTTAGTTTCCAGTTTACAACACTGGTGCCCCACCCCTGAAAATACATACCTCTTACTTGGTATTAGGTTGACTACAAATTTAAAACGAACTCTAATCAGTTACTATAAATAAGCATAAGTATTTTACAAATAAAACTTAAACTATTAAACCAATTTATATTGCAATATAAAAGGATAAATTTACATCTCATCTGTGACAACAGTGCAAAGATATTAGTTTCTCAGCATCAGGCCAGAATGCACAAAGGTGATGTCTTAAATAACCATATTCAAGAATTTACAATTTGTTTCTTTTCTCATAAAGAAACTTGGAAACATTATTGAAGTCTTATTCTACTAAATATGATGTTGAGGAGACAAATCACATCTTGACAGTTGTTGAAATTCAGAACGGTTCTTTTTAACTTATTTTGTCATAAATATACTTCTTTATGATTTTTTTAAGTATCAAGGAAAAAATTGACTCGTAAAAATGTGTATAGCAGGAGTGTTAATGTTTTATATACCTTGTTTACAATATTTTAAAAAAATTAGAATGAAAATTTGCTCTTCTCTCACCAAATGTTATGTAAAATGTACATTTAAAAATAAAAAGCAAAGAGAGGGTTAAGGGGAGATAACTGTGGATTCAAAGTCGGAACTTATCGTTGATGACTCTCTCTTCCAATTTGCGGACCCTAGTTACTATGTTCTTAATATTTAATATAATGCAAAAATATCACAATGGTAAAATTGGTCAGTAATTATAACTATTTATACTGGGACTCATGCATGCAATTACAAGTAATCAATAATATTTTAAATTTTGAAATCATATTTATTTTTGGCATATGAATTTTTGGAAACTGTTTTTAAGTCTTTGATTCTCTTTCAATCATTCCGCTTCACCTGCTATCCTCTTCTGCTGCACCTATGAGGCATGGCGCATCATTTGGAACTACTGATCTATTATGATGCAAACATTTCAATTAAAGATGCCTCTCCATAGAGCAGTGTTAATGCATGTTATGGCAAATGGTTTGGAAAAATCAATTGCTTATATGTCATAAATGCTAACTTCAGAGAAGAGGTACAGCCACCTAAAGAAGGGTTCTCTAGCATAAATTTAACCAGTATTTGTGGGATCAAAAGTTTCTCACTGCAAATTTTATTGCTATTAACCAGAAGAAAAGTAAAAAATTTTGATGTATTAAACTAAGCAGCAGTTTTTATTAGTCTGGTTTTAGTTCAGTTTCTTTTGTGACAGTAAATTGGGATAAAACTTCCATATTTCAAAGACCAGCCTATTCACTAAACCTTCAAGTGTAAGATGATTTTTAAAAAATTTTTTTTACATTTAAGATTATATAAAATGGACAGAGATCAATACTTTTTTTTCGTAATCTCTGAGGTTCAACAGTCAGAATAAGAAATAAATGTTTTACTCTTTCCATAATTGTTATTCTTTTTTTCCTCTTGTTCAAGTACGAACATTTGACTGTAGTTAAAATATTGCTTTTTTTTTCTTATTTTTTTTTTCCAGAATACCTCCATTGGGACAGCTGCCTACATCATCTTGTCAGTGATTTTGGTATTCTTCCTTGTGCTCTACTATTGCATCGCTTACCACTACTTTTAGTAAGTTTTTCTATTTTTATAACTTATTCATTTTTAATTTGGAAAAATGTTAAACATTTTAATAGCCATTTGAATAAATTCAGTTTTTAGATAAATCTTAGTCATTTCCATTGCAATATATTTTTATATATATATATATATATATATATATATATATATATATATATATATACATATGTCCGGCTGATATGTAAGTAATAACGAAGTCAGTTTTTGTAAACAAATTTAATACTTTTAATGATACACTTTTATTGTAGACTAGCTTAAAAGCTGCCCTATTGAGCAGCATTTAAGCTAGCTCCTGCGGAGTGCTCTTGATTAGGCCTTTGGCTTGTTCAGGAATTTGGGAGTCCCTAAGTCTTTGCATATTTGCAGCATTGGAAGCACTCCTGGCTGCTGTTTGATTTTGGTTTTCATTTGCATAGGAATTTGCTGCAGCCTTGGCTCTTTTGATTGCGATCTAGTCCTCTGTTGGTGGAGAGTTTTTTTGTTTTTTTTACGAGTCATATTGCTGCCATATGCAATAAGTAATAATAAATTACAGAAGAACTCAAAATTGATCACTAAGCTTAAGTTTTAAAAGTTCAACGATAATTCTTCTGCTGCCACTTAATTTAAAGACAATTTGATGTATCTAGGTCCTCATTTTTCATACAAACAATTATTTTTATTTTGTGGGTGACTTTCACTGGATTTCACAATTTCAATTATTCCCAAATTTATTTCCCAGTTACAAAAATTGTTATTGTACAAAAAAACTTTTACAAAAAAAAAATTATTTATAGAAGATTTAGTCTATTAAAACAATGTACAAATATTTAATGTTTAATGTAATAAGACATTTACAATTTTTTTTTTTTTTTTTGTCAGTACTGATTCATTCATTGACTATCAACCAATGGAGTATTCAAGAGGAGAACGCACTTACAGCAACCCTACAGTCTCAAATATTAATATTCGTCATCGACCAAACAGATATGCTCAGTTTACCAAATAGTGCAAGTTGTCAATCCACTGATCTCCCTTCCACTTGCCACTATTCACAAAAACACTAACCTTTCTCTTAAATTGTTCCTGGGAAGCTCTGTCACTTTTCAAGTTGAAAACAGTTTATAATTTCAGTTGTTCACTTTTTTTTCCATTTTTTTTTTTTTTTTTTTTTTTTTAAATAATTATTCACAAATTTCTTTTTAAGTTTACTAATGTTTTTATTAATAAACATCAAATTTTAACTTCATTGAGACTAATTTACCTCTTCCACTTGAAAGGATTATATTTTTTTTATTTAATTTGACTTAAATAAAAAAAAAAAGAAAGAATGCTCATTTTAAAGCCAAGAAGTTACAAAAAAAAGAATTACTGTTAAAGTTCTCATTTTGTTATCATTATGCAACTGAAACCTAATCTTAAATTAGCCTGATGAGTTTTTTAATAAATTGTTGTTAGTAAACATTATTTATAGTGAATAATTTTCTTTACGAAGTTAAAGGTTGATTTCTTATTGTTTTCCATTTCCTTATGATTCTATCTCAAAGTTTTTTATCTGAAGTTTCAACTTTTGGAGAATTATTAATCAAGGCTAATAATCTTAGCTGACTGAATCCTGTTTGGCATGATCTCCAATACAGCATTCTTATTGCTGACAGTTTTAAACTCTGTTCTGTTCTAATTAATCTCTATTATCTTAAGCTTCAGTTTCTGTTACTCAGCTTGAAGTTAGAAAAGAAGTCCAGAATTCCTCTTTCCAAACAATGCTTCATTTGCCAAAAGTGGAATTAGAAAAGAATTTACATTGAACAATTCACCTTGACTAATTTTAAACATTTTAAAGAGGATCTAGATCAGATGTAACATCTGCCACATAAATTAAAAGTATTCTTGACAAAAGGATGTGAAAAAATTCACTTCTAAAAAATATCACATTGCAAGTATGCTTGTTTTAAAAACGTTCTCAATTTGTTTTTTTTTTTTGTTTTTTTTTCAAAGTCATTGCCAACAAATACTTTAAAAAGTAAAACATAAAAGATATCTGTAGATAACTCAGAGAAGATTATAAAGTTTTAATAGTTGGTAGTTTTTTGACTAAATTTTATCATACTTTATACTGAGTTTTTGCTGTATGGGGGCGTGGATATTCAATCTTTATTAATTTTGAATCTAATATGGGGTGGGATGGATAAATTTTTGTCTAAATTATGCAGAAATGAAAATAACACTAACATCTCATTTTAACAGATATATCTACCAAAATTTACACAAAAATATTTTGAAATACTAAAGAGTAAATTTATTCAATAAAATTGCTATTGGCTGAACTACGTCCTCCAGGCAGATTTGAAATCTTCTGTATCTCTTTTGGACGGTCTCTTTGTTTAAGTTGGTGAATGCTGCGATAATCCTTGCCTTCAGTTCATCTTTGATGTTACACGGAGTTTTGTTGGTCTCTTGCTCAACTGTGCCCCACACATATTAATCAAAGATGTTGTAGTCTGAGGAGTCAGGTGGCCATATTTAAAGAGTGATGTGTCCACAAAAATTGTCTGATAGCCATGACTGGGTTCTCCTGCTTGTGTGGCATGGTGCATGTAGGCCTCCATGTTGAGTCTGAGGCTATCACCAACAAATTTGGGAGTTCTTTTCTTATCAGAACAATCAGTGATTTTTTTTTTTTTATGTGCTGCTATACCTTCATAGTCACCATTAGACTCTTCCAACTCTTTCTAAATCCTCTGCACTGTCATCCAATTGATGCCCAAACACTGAACTGTGTGTATTAGAGCTTCTGGCACAAATAACAAGCAGTACAGCATAACGTTTCCAAATTTCTGGCAGAGTGAATTGTGTAATGGTGTTCTTTTTTTCTTACAGTGCCCAACTGATGCTACTATAGTGTGCAGTCAACAAAATCAAAAACAATGTACATGTGCACAATTAAAAATATAAAATGATGACAATTTATCCATCGCATCCTGCATATATGTACTTCAAATTCTTAAAAGTGACTTTATCATATTTTTTAAAGTTGATTTAGTAATTTCATTCCTTTAAAAATAATGCTTATTGTAATATTTTCATTATCATACTTCAGTAATATGTTTATAATTCCATAAAACTAACTTTCCTTGATTACATATTTATTTAAATAAGATGACCAAATGCTTTTATACTCAAGATGAAAGTCAAAATTTCAAATCTATTGTAAGAAATGTAAAGCCATACATAAAATATATGCATATAAATGTGAGTTATAGATTTAATAGAAATATAAGAGAAGTTATTTAGAGAAGGGGGAAATATTCCTCATTCCTTATTTATTTTTGCCATTAAATAAATGAATACATGAGTCAGTATACTACTGATTTACTAAAAAAAGATTATAAGCAGTTTTGAAAGTCTTAATTTTAGATCAATTTTTTTATGCAAAATTGAAATTTTTTTTGTTTAAAGTTTTAAATATTGAAACTGACAATAATTTTAATATGTTCACAACCTGGTAAAAAAAATCACCTGCAAGTTTTATATATAACAGAAAATGGTGCTTATTCATTTTTAAGTCTATAAAATGTACAATTAAGGATTGTATATATTATTGAAATAGAACAAAACACTTAAGTTCTGAGTTTGTTCTCTGTCATTTTTACATGGTGTACTTGAAAAGAGGCAAGTAAAACTGAGTTCAGTAACTGCTAGATATTAGAGTAATTAGAAAAGTAAATAACCTTTGTTCAAAATTTTATTTTCAAAATCATTTTTAATTGAAATATGTAAACATGATAAAGTTATTGTCTAGTTAGTTAATAAGACATTAAATGGGAAATGGCTTGTTACAACTGATTTGATCCAATTTTAATGTCATCTTTTTTGATTGTTCAAGTCAAACATTACCAGTAGTTAGAAAAAAAAGCAAAACACAATCTAAATTTGTATTGGCACTCAAAGACATTAGTCATCTACAACACACGGAACAGACTCGGCAAGCAACCATCACTGAAACTAAAATGAAAAACAAAAAAAAAAAATTTTTTTTTTTTTTTTTTTTAAATCATTGTTTCTTACTCTTTATTTTTTTGTGTTTGCAAGTGGATGAAAACTATCCATGAACTGAAATTGTCCTGCCATGTCTTAGCTGTTTGCAAAAAGTAATCAACTTCCTTGTATTCTGGGAAGAAAAAGAGATATTTTTCTATGTTAAACCACAAATTTAGCTGTGGTAATAATAAATTGGGGTTATTTATATGACAAAATGTTGAACTTTTTACTACTCTTTGTTGTTTTGTGTATTGGAGTCTTGTTGTGAGAGGTTTATGTATTACAGCATTGGGGTTGGGATGTTTATCTTTTGGTTTTATAGCAAGTATTCTATAATCATTGGGAAGTTCATAAAGAATGTATATACTATATAATTTTTTGCACATATTCCATGAAGATAAATATGTATACATATATAAAGAAATGTATGTATTATATACACTGTTTTAAATTGCTTTATTTATTCACACACACATGAGAGGGAGAGTTTACAGGTATATTTACGCACATTCATTGTCTTAATTGTGCATTTTATGATTACATGCTTTCTGTTAACTTATATATATTTTTTCAATGCCATGTCCCTTCAGAGTCTAGGCAATCATGACTCTCCACAGATTTCTTTTCTTTATATTCTGTGAATTGACATGCATTTGTTGAGGGATTGCAATGCCTGGTCAACACCAAAGCCTCAAACATAAAAAATTTATCATTTACAAGCAACAATTTGAAATAAAGACAAAACTAGGTTTAACCAAATCCAAAATAACATTTATTCAAAAACAATAGTATGTATTGACTATGTGTGATTCGGTTGTGTATGGTATTAGTGTCTGAGTATATAGGTAAAAGTGGTTTTCACAGTTGTGCACATGGTGAAAAGTTTGAAATGTCTTTCCTTAATTACATTTGCAAGATAGTAAGTAGAAAGAAAAGTGTCGGTGAAACAGTACCTAATTGGTGTTGCTAATATGGAGTGTTCCCAGTTCTTGACCTGGTTACCATGGCAATGTGGTGAATCAGTGAGTTTGTTTTTTGGCCATGGGGGTTGAAGGAGTGGAAAAAAGGGATGAGTGACTGCTTTCCTAACATCTGCCAACTTGAAGTTCAGTAGCTTGCAGATTTCTCCCTTCTGATCTGCAAATTTCTGCGCTATTTATGTTTACGATGACTGTCAATGATGTAGTGTGTGGACGTAGTTGTAAGCTAAAATTCACACCTACTTGAGATTAATGTTTGTGTCAAGGAAAATAAGTAGAGGGAAAAAATGAATTTTTCAACTAATTGTTTTTTTTTTTAGGTCTGCTACACATTCTTGGGAAGGATAGTGGAATGGTTTCTCATTACCTTTTCTAGTTTAGATTTCAGCATTTCCTACTGTTAGATTAGTTACTTGAGAACCCAATAACCCAGGACCCAATGCTATTTACTATATTTGACAGCATATAAGACACACCCCAATTTCAGCAGTGCAAATCAAGAAAAAATTAGTAAACCTACATATGGCATATAAGACACAGGGAAATTTTTAAAAATATTTTTAGTAAAAAAAAGTGCGACATATGCCTTCAAATATGGTAATTCATAGCTTTTTCTCAAGGCCTTCTATGCAAAAGTGAACAACAAATTAGCCCAGAATTTGAACTTATTTTACCAATTCCACTTTCCATTAAACCACCTGTACACCTCCAGACTTATTTTAGGTGTTTGAATAGATTTTGTTTTTTTAATTTTGATATACTTTTATTTTAATATCCAATAAACAGATAAAAAAGTAACCTTTACAAATTATTTTCTCATTCATGAAACTGGTTGTGTATTAGCCTCTGAATAAAATTTGTCATTTTTCTTTCTCTTTCCATTTTGTATCATACACATTGCCTTGGTTTTCTATAAAACAGGCTGTTGGTAAGCTGACTGTAGACTGTTGTAAAAGAATGCCATAACTTGACTGTATGACTTGTCACA